GATGATGAAGATGAGACCACTGTGGAGTTGGAAGGGCAGGATGAAAATCAAGAAGGAGATTTTGAAGATGCGGATACCCAGGTGGGGGCTCTTTTTCAGTGCTTTCCTGGGAAAATCAAAGGATAGCAAAATCTGTAGCCAGCATTTTCCCCAGACCCATGTCTAGGGACATTACTCTCCAGAATCTTTGTTTCTCCTCAGTAGGTAGAGCTCTTGTAAATGTTTTATGGTGTAAACCCACTTTGGATTCAAAGAGTGAGGACTCATCCTCACTTTTATGTTGTTCCGTACAAGTAGTAAATGAATATTGTATGTTTTTAGGTTGTAGTATATGATGTCTTGACGGGTATGTATATTGTGAGATGATTAACATGAGGCATTGTTTCCTATTTGTATGTGTGTAGTGGGAATACTTGACATGGAATTTCTTAGCAAGTATTAAATGTGCAGTACATTGTTAACTATCATCACTGTGGTACCAGGATTTATCTTACAACTGAAAATTTGGGATTTTTGATATTTTATTAAACTCATGTAGTATCTGTGTGTTCTGTGTTTGCTGCTTGTGAGTTCTGTGTGTTCTATTTTCCCTTACAAATGTTGCCCACAAATCGAGACACAGTTGCTGGTAAGATTTATGGAGGAAAACAGCTTGTACCTTATTTTGTAGGAGGGAGACACAGAGAGTGAGCCGTATGATGATGAGGAGTTTGAAGGTTACGAAGACAAGCCAGATACCTCATCCAGCAAAAGCAAGGACCCAATAACAATTGTTGATGTGCGTATTCAGGATTCTGAATTCCAAACCAACCAATGAAGTATCTTGTCACTAGTCTCAGAAGTATAATTAGTGCTATTTTAGTTGAAATTGTAACATTGTAGTGGGAACTGGTGAAGAGTTCTGGGGCTGAGGAGATAGCTCAGTGGCATAAACGCCTACCTGTCAAGTGTAAGGTCTTGAGTTCAAGCCCCGTTCCTTGGGGAGGGGGGTTCTTCTGGTACACATTCACACCTAGAGAAGCAGCTCTGGTGTTTTATTTTAGTCTTTTTAGTTTTATTTATCAAGAAATAAGCCAGATGTGGTGGTGCACACTTGTAATCTCAGCACTTGGGAGGCTGAGGCAGGAGGACTGCCTTGGACCCCATCTCAAAGCAACGAAGGAAGGAAGGAGAGAGAGAGAGAGAGAGAGAGAGAGAGAGAGAGAGAGAGAGAGAGATACAGTGGATATAGTTTGGGGTGGAATTCAGAACCAAGTTAAATACAAAGGGCCTGCTGCTTTTTCAGCCCACTTGACTGTATTTCCTTAAAGAATCTTATAGTACTGGCCTAGAAAACCAAAATGAGCATATTTCTCAAAAGAAAATTATATCCATCAATAGTTACACGTTGGGTTCTCATTTTTATCTTAATTCTTCAGCCTTAGCCAACATTAAGTAGAATAATTTCATCTCTTTAGGTTCCTGCGCACCTCCAAAACAGCTGGGAGAGTTATTACCTAGAAATTTTGATGGTGACTGGTCTGCTCGCCTATATCATGAACTATATCATTGGGAAGAATAAAAACAGTCGCCTTGCTCAGGCCTGGTTTAACACTCACCGAGAGCTTTTGGAGAGCAACTTTACCTTAGTAGGTAAGTGCAGGCCAACGTGAGAGTCTGCCTACTTGGTCTTCACCTGGTAAGAATGGTTTATTCCCCTCTGCACAAGCAGCTTGCTGTTTTATGGACTGCAGAAAATCTGGGTTTTTTTTTTTTCCTTCGAGGATACTATTTTTATTAGATTTTACATACTGAGTAAGTTATTTAATGATTTGCTAAGCTTTCACTTAGCATCAGTATAATTCCCGTAAAACTTTAGATAAAATCAGTGTTGCCAGGCATTCTAGCACACAGCTATAATCCCAGTACTAGGGAGGCTGAGGCAGTGAGGTCACTGCAGATTAGAGCCCAACCTCAACTATGTAACGAGGCCTTGTCTCAATTAATAAAAAATAAAAATCAGTACTATCAAAAAAAGTTGATAAAGGTGCTCGAGCTACTGAGTGTCTAAGGCCCGTGGCGATGGTGGTTAGCAGGCTGAACAAAGATGTACACACGAGAGCAGCGACGAAGCAAAAGTTGGTAGAAACTGGAGCAAGAGCGCCTCAGAGTTGCTGCGGGCCCAATGAACCGAATGTGGCTGCAAGGATCAGCTGAAGGCCCACTGTAGAGGTCATTAAAGAAAAAGTTCTGGAACAGGTTACTGTTGATGCCTCGGTGGCTGAGCGCTGGTGCCCGGCAGCATAAAGAAGGCGCTCCTGTAGAGAAGAGGAACGTTCCTCGCCCAGCGTGCCAGCCTTTAGGGTTGAATCAGATTGTCGTGTTCTGTGGTTTTATTTCTAAGTAAAACTTGCCAAGATTAGAAGCCGATTTCCCAAAATAAAGTCCTTTTTTGTATATGGTATACAGTTTTCAAGGAATAATGTATACATTGTATTGATTTTTTTCCCTAAGCATGTTATTTTAATAAATATTTCATGAATTAAAAAAAAAGTTTAAAGTTCTGGTTGAAAGGTAGAAGTTTTGATTTTTTTAGGTAGCTCGCTGAATGTTTCAGTTTGCCTTACAGAATTGAAAGTTCCTTGCAGTTCTCTCAAATTCTGAACTTCTTAGCGCTGGATGCGCCGGTGAGGTGTGTGCTGCAGTGTGCAGAGGAGCGGCTGTGGCTGCGGCTGCGGCTGCGGCTGCGGCTGTGGCTGTGGCTGCGGCGCAGGCGTGCGGTCCCTTGCAGCTGCTTTTGTGCGGCACTTAGCGCTTTCGTGGTTTTTTTTTTTTTGAGGTACCAGGGATCCAACTGTGGATCTTGCGCTTGCCAGGCAGGCGCTTATCCCACTGATCTGTCTCCCCGGTCCCTGTATTTCTCTTGAACAGCAAGCAGGGATCCACATGCTGTGATTTTGAGCACACCATATATTGTACTAGGTATTTTGCATACATTTTTTTATATTTACTTTTTGTGACAGTACTCTCGGTTGTTGGATTTACTTTTCTGTTTTCTTTCTTTTTTTTTTTTTTTTTTTGTGCAGGGTCTCATTATGCAGCTCAGACTCGTAGTGATCCTCCTGATTTCTGCCTCCCTAATGCTGGGGTTATAGGGGTGCACCATCATGCTTGGATTCTGTCGCTGGCTCAGCGTGCCCAGGGGTGGGGCTGGCGTGACATGTGGTGCCAGGGGTTGAACCCTGGCCCCTGCACTTACCTAAGCAAGTGCTTAGTCTGCTGAGCTATACCGCCGGCCCTTGTTTTCTTAATGTGGGAATTGAAGAACAGCCATGTTAAGACCTGTCTAAGCTGTGAAAGTACAACCATGGTCTTCCAGCCTATCTACCTGTGTCCCATTGCCTTGCCTTCTCCAGTACACTCTTTGGTACCAAATAGTTCACAGTTCCTTCTGACCAGGAAATTAGAAAAAGGAAATAAGCAGTCTCTGGCTTGCTTTCTCCTTGCTCATTTCCTTGTGGTACCAGAGTCCTTTCTTGGTAGGTTTTCTGTTTTTCTGGGGTTTTTAAGTTTTTTTCATTTTATTTATTTATTTATTTAAGATAGGGTCTTTGTAGGTAGCCCAGGCTGGCCTCAAACTTGTAGAAATCCTCCTGCCTCAGCCTCCTGATTTCTGGGGTTACAGATGTATGCTACCATCCTCAGCTGATAATTTATTGTTTTAGTTTTGTTTTTTATGATACCTGCGTTTGAACCCAGAGGGCTGCTGAGGTACAACCCTTTTTATATTTTTTACTTTAAGACAAAGTTTTACTAAATTGTTCAAGATGGCCTCGAATTTGAAATCGTCCTGCCTTATCCTCTAAAGTAGCTGGGATTGTAAGTGCTCACCACTGTGCCTGTTTACTTTTAAAATTCTTTATTATGTCCATTAAAAATGATGGACTGAGATAAAAGTCCCACAAAAAACAAAACAAAAAAAATGATGGACTCAGATGGCATGAATATGATCAAAAATATGTTATGTACATGGAAACTCCCCTCAAAACATGACTCTAGCGGAGAAGGATCAGAGGAATGGGGAAAAGATTGTGTTCAGGCAAACATCTGCTGAAATAAAACTCGTCCATCTGTACGATCACCGCAATAACAAGTGTGGGGAGCCGGCCCCTCTGCACGTGCCGGCTTGCGTGTTGCCTGGCCCACACCCTTGCCTTGTGATTCCACTGGCCCGCAGCTCCCACCAGAGCCAACACGTGGGGCTGCCTGCTCCCCAAACTATGCGCTCAATACATTTCTCTTCTTTCCATATTTAAAACAAAACAAAACCCATAGAGAGAGAGAGAGCCGGGAATGGTGGTACATGTCTGTGATCCCCCCAATAGGAAGGCTGAGGCAAAGAGGATTGCAAGTTCAGGGCCGCCCTGGTGAGCTTAGCAAGAGATCTGGGGCTGGAGCGAGGCGGCCGAGCCCCCTGCCCGTGGGAAGCCCCGTGCCCCCACCCGCATGGCCGCCCTGGTCCCCAGCCCCGTGGCTCCGCCCAGGAGGGGCCTGCCCAGAGCCGGCGCCCGCTGCCTTCGCACAGCTCAGGGTGGGGGCGCTCTGCCCTGCGCTCGGTGTCCACCCACAGAGGACCACGAATGGAAAGCAGGAGCGCAAAGGGCTTTGGCTCAGTGAGCATTCCGCACAGAAAACTTGAGGCGTTAGGTCTTCCTGAAGCTAGCAGAAAATTGAAGCAGGATACATTAGATGTCTGGAAAGTGAGAAAGCTGTAAGTGAATTCTCTTGTTCTCTGTCAGCAGGACAGAAATTAATGAAGCTCTTACAGAAAATTTAGGACTTGTCAACAAATCCTGTTGGGGTGGTTGACCCTTCAGAACTGGGTGAACAGGTACATGCAGAAGCGTGTGAGAAATACACCAAATCTATTGAGGGAATACAGAACTCCTAAACTAGTATACAATACAGATAGTGAAGAACCAAACTATAGTAATCCCCATGCACGGGAGATTCTGTACATAGCAAAGTATTGCTGTTTTAATGCTGTGATAGAGATAGAGAATGGCGTGGTGATTACGCCCCAGAATTTTGAGCGGATCACATTTTACCCCTAGGGGATGATGGAACTAACAAAGAAGCCACAAGCACAGGAAAGTTGAACCAGGAGAATGAGCACATCTATAACCTGTGGTGCTCTGGTCGAGTGTGTTGTGAGGGCA